TTTACATCCACTTCTTCCTCATCTACAGTCTTATAGGATCCTCTATATACATTTTAATTTAACTTTACATTAAGGTGTTGAATCATTGGTTGCCATTCATTAACGAAGCTGTCTAGTATTTCTCCTCTTAATAATACAGTTATTTTGTCCATTATCAACATATCTATAATATATTTTTCCCATTCTTCTAAAGGAGGTATATCTGGGGTTTTCCAATATCTAGCATATACTATTCTAGCTGCCACTGTTGTGTAAAACATTTTTTTCCCAACTAATGCATTTTAAGGGAAAGGCAATCTAGTTGTGTGTGAGTGATGACAGTCTTCTAAGAAATGTTTTGAGTGGTTATGTGGAACAACATTTCTCAAGTTTCCATTTCAGTTTATCATGGGACAGGGCAAACAGATCTAGAATCTCACTGCTGCATGATTTATTTACTTATTTATGAATGATCTTTCTGCTTCTGCAACAATAGAAGAAAAAAGGTTGATATCCAAGAATGTTTTGTAGAGACAAGCAAAAAAAAAATCTGTAATCTGGAAGTGATTATGGTGATTCCTTTGAAAAAAGTATGAGCTATAAAAGTACTTTTCCATATGAAAAATGATTGCTAGTGGCAAATTTTCTATTTTAATTTTGCTAGAGTTCATGTCGTATCAGGTTACACATGAAAGGCTTCTCCTGGAGATATGGCTCTTGATTGCTTAAAGCTCTCTTCTGCAATGAAATAAAATGATGGAGTGTCACCTCCTTGCCAAAGCTGGTCTCTGAAAAACAGGCATTCAGATTTCATCCTGGGAACACAGTGCTGTACTGTGTATTACTGACGCTAGGTATTTTCCAGTTCTGAAAAGAATGGCTTCAAATTCTGTACATTTTGGTGGTTTTTGAGGGGTCCATCCAGACCACTTCTGCGCTGTTGGCGGTTTCTGACCTGCAAAGGATTGCCAATAGACTCAGTGTTGGCTCAGGCCTTGTTGAATCAGTGAGTCATCTTCTCCCTGTGGCAAGTGAGGAGTGGGGGCTACTTAGGCTTTCTGGTTTAGCCTGAGCAGTCTTGTTCCACTCTCAAACTAACAATGAAGCTATTACAGCAACTGTATGGTCTGTCAGTTTTTTAACTCTTCAGATCTTGAAGATCATTGCAGACCAAATTTCAGCTGTTTCATAGAATCAAAGAGTTGGAAGAGACCTCATGGGCCATCCAGTCCAACCCCCTGCTAAGAAGCAGGAATATTGCATTCAAATCACCCCTGACAGATGGCCATCCAGCCTCTGTTTAAAAGCTTCCAAAGAAGGAGCCTCCACCACACTCTGGGCAGAGAGTTCCACTGCTGAACGGCTCTCACAGTCAGGAAGTTCTTCCTCATGTTCAGATGGAATCTCCTCTCTTGTAGTTCGAAGCCATTGTTCCGTGTCTGCTTCCAAGGAAGCAGAAAACAAGCTTGCTTCCTCCTCCCTGTGGCTTCCTCTCACATATTTATACATGGCTATC